CTCTCGTCTGATTTCCATATACTATTCTTTTATGGAATCCATATTGGATTGTTCTAGTTGAATACTTTTCAATTTTGCCCAATATATTATTTGGGCAATATTCCTCCCGCTTTGTAGCGGGGGTTCTCAGATTCGAAACAACTCAGACCCGATAACGAGGGTGACCATCTGCCGTTCATCAGAGCTAGCAGTGGTATCAGCTTGTAGCAGCTAGTTGCTAGCTACCTAGCCGCTAACAGCTAACAGTTAACAAGTGCATCGTCGCTGGTCGCCCCCGATTCAGACAGAATAGCAGTGCCAAGTCCTGCCAAGTATTGCAGCCCAATCTGTTTCTCACAGCCGCTGAAGCTAAACATGCAAAGAAGCCTGGTAAGCCTGCTAATAATAATAGCTTGCTAAGCTGCGAAGCCAAGCTAAGTAAGCTAGGTATGACTTACAGGTTTTGTTGAATATGCATAGCCAAACCCACGCAGGCAAAATAACAATGCTAAGTCTTGAATCCAGCTCTGTTTTGTGTGTATAGCAGGACTCGCTGAGCCGAACTAACAGAACTAACGCGGTGTAGTAATGTAGTAGTGAATGTAGTGTTATTAATGGCATAGTTTTGCGTCTCCCAGACATCGGAGCGGAAGCCGTCCAGACAGGACAGCAGCGCGAAGTATTGAATCTAGTTTTATTCTTAGTCTTAGTTCTCTTTATCAGTATCATATATATGCCGAGGACCGTCGCCGTAGGAGCCGTAGGTATATTAGGATGATTAGGTTGATTGGATTGTGTGAAGTCGACGTAATGCAGTTAGCTCTGTTTCTCGTACATAAGAGAAATTGTACTCAGACGAACTTAGGGACCTACTGACGTAGTGACCTAGTGCCTGGCCTACTGACCCAGTTTAAGCCGGCTGGAGTCATTGCACTGAATGGTAATAGTAATTATTAGTATTGATATTGTATTGTTATCCTTGTACTGTATTGTATGTGGGAGGCCATCGAGAGGATCCACAGCTTCACGGGCAGCCATGGATGGGTGTGGGAAAAATGGTGCCGAGATCCCAAGCTCGAACGGCCCCTTATTCCTGTCTCCGAGCACAACGACTTCAAGCAGTGCCTGAAGGATATGCAGCAGCACCTGTCGGCAGTCACCGTGCTCAAATGTGAAGGACTCTTGGCGCATGGCATCCAGCACTACAAAACTAAGCAGGGCATGTCGACCCTCCGCAATCAGTTGGCGCTGATCGCCGGAGGCAGCGTTGCCGCAGAGAGTATTTGCCGTCAGCTGAAGGCAAAAGCAGAAAGCTTGGTGGCGTGAGCGTTGGTCCATGGATCCATTGGTCAGCATTGGGCCCATCATTAAAAATCCTTAGTGCCTTAGTGACTTAGTGAGGCTTAGTGCGGTAGGGCCCGGTAGGCCGACCTAAGACCGAGGAGGCAGCATGAAGATTGCCCGCTGGATCTTGGAACAATGCTCTACGTTTGATTTTCTTTGGAAAGCTGAGCCATGAGAGACTCCGTTTCTCATGCGTGATCCGCCACAGCTGGTGGTGCGGTTGGCATCCACGAGTTTAGCGAACGGGTTGAAACCCGAGTGTTTCCCTCGGACGGTGGGGTTGAGCGAGTGTCTTGTAAGGGCAAGGGAACAGCACCGAATGACTGCCAACCGCCACCGGCTTTTCTCCCCCAGATTGCTGTGCTGGCACGACGAGCTTGTCGTCAAGCTTGTGTTAGGTCTGCTAGGTGCTAGGCTGGCTGCTAGGCGCGCTTGGCTTGAAGCCACACGCGAGGTCTAGGAGTCTAGGGCCCAGAGCTTAAGATGTGAAATCTGAAAGGTCGCTCAGCTTCGGATAGTTCGTTCCGTACTGCTGTTTAGTCAAGTTTAGTCGTGGCTGTTTAATTAAAATTTTGGGAGCGGCCATTTGTGGGCCAGTTGTGTGTGCAGTGCCGGGGATTTTAAGTCTCTTGGCCTTACATACCCGCTTAGTTCAAGGCAAAACCCTAAACTTGCTTCAAACTTGGCCCTAAATTCCGTAATTCCTAAATCCTAAATCCCCGTTGGCCCGAGAAGTCAGAGATTTGACTAGCAGACATGCAGATCAGCTATCAACGATGAGTCGTTTGCTCAATGTCATTTGCTGCACTCTGGACTCTGGACCTTGGACAACTATGCATCCGGCATTCTATTGATTTTGCAGAGGGCTAGCAGCTAGCAGCCGCGCTGTGGGCTTTTAAGTGGTTCCGGTGATTTCCGCAGGGCAGTCGGTTGTTTCAGTAGAAGACTGGTGACATCTTGCAAACCTACAGCACACGCAGTATGCAACCTGGCATGTCAAAGATTCACCGACTCGCTCCACGTCAAACCACAGAAGCTGTTGGCCCCGGTGTTGCAACATGTTGCAACTTCACAACAATCCTTTGTCCCTTGCCGCAGACACCCGCTTGCTGCTCCCGCTAGCAGCCGCTTGCAGGTAAGGCAGACGCACATGAGTAGCGCGAGCGCAAAACATGACNNGACAGTTGTTCCAGGGTTCATAGTGTCGTTCTCTGCACAGAGTGAAGCTGATGCATTCGAGATTCGAGAGGGTCATTCGAATCACCAGCTGCATCTTTAGGGCGGCGATGGTGAAGTTTCTGTTGGTGCTACGCGCCATTTCTGTTTGTGGCCAAACATTGTGATTGTCTAGGGCGTTTGCGCCCAGGAAACATGTTTGCAACCAAAGGTGGTTTCGAAGAATCTTCGTCCATTCATTGTCCGTGCCAGCGGCGCGTGCAAACCTTGTGAATTGAGTTGAGGCCAAGTGCTTCATCGTCCTAGGTCCTAGGTCCTAGATTCTACATTCTAGATTGTAGATCACAGACTTTAAGACTTTATGATTGAGGGCTGACATCTTGCGGTTGACATGTACGTGTACCTGGGACCAGAGTGATGATGATACTGATGGTGTTGGCCATGGGGCTGTAGATGATGGAGAAAAGGAGATGATGACGACGATGGCGATGGGACTTATGACTTATTATTATTATTATAGTCGAGAATCGAGATGACAGTTCTGATGACGATGATGGAGAAGCTATTCTATTGATTCGTTGATGTTGTTTATTGCCACGGTGTTGATGATGCTGTTGAGAATGAGTGTGAATGTGAATATGAAATATGATCATGTATTTGGATATGAGAGTGTGACGGTTTGGACGCTGACGACAAACGTGTCGAATTTCGTCTTCCTCGTCATTTGAGTCTCTCTTTGCATGAGAATGATCTTCATCAGATTCTCATGTCTTGTGTTGCTACATTGCTGGCATTGCTGCTGCATCACGCACTCAAGTGGCATGAAGGAGATTTTTGAGTGGGCTTGAGATTTGTCCACGTCTGCAACCTCAAAGGCCTTTGAGATCCCTGTAACCGGGTGCTTTCAGACATTTCTCCCATGGCCAGGGCACTGGGGCCCTGCTCATTGCACAGAAAGTACACGCTAATGCGAACAGCACTGAACAGGCGAATTGTTTCATTCGCACGATTTCCCAAATCCGAGGAGCCCGGCCAGGAGGAATTCAAGACCCGCAGCTACTCGCAGTGCAGCGCAAGCTACAGTAAGTACAGAAACATGACGCATTCGGTGACACTGCAGAGCTTGACAGCACCTTCTAGATTCTAGATTCTAGAATCAGCCAAGCAGCCAGAAAGAAGCCAGGGCCCAGACTTGAGAGTTTGTTCCTCTCTGTCTCTCTCTCTCTCTGTCTGGGCTTTGGGTTTTGTCGTTTTGGGGGAGCGGCCGCCTTTCGTGCAGGGTGGTTGAGGTTCAGGATCTTTTGGGGCTGCTCAAGGCATTGAGGTGTTTTGGAGTAAAGCTTGCACATGGTTTCGGGGTTTACGCTCTCTCTCTCTCTCTC